AAAGGCTGGGATTATTGTCAGCCTGGTGAAGGGCTGGGAATCGCCTAGAGAAAGGCTGGGAATTTTACTGTGCTGTTCAGAGTAGAACAGGGTTTATTTACTGTTTAGTTGTTACTATGTTCGTAGTTATACTGTTCTTTGATATATTATGTTTTCTATTCAGTTGTAATCATAGTGTGGGTACCCTAGTTGTGTTTGTGTTGTGTGGCTTGTCTTTGATGCCGGATTATGTGCGCATCTCTACATCTGTGATGCCTGTAAATGTCTTCTGATTAGTCTCTCCACGTTCACCTTTTCCCTTATACTCTACTTCTCCTGTACTTGTTGCCCAGAGCTGTGTTAGTCACCCACGCACGCTCAGATCCGTGGCCACCATCTGTGGTGGGCGGATCCTGTGACTAGTCTACGTTTAGGGAAGACGCACGGGAATCAATTCCTTGTGGCAGTCGAGCACTGTAGACATTCCTTCTTTTCTCTCTCTCTCTCTCTCTGTCCCTCTTACAGGGAAAGACTTGTTTGGTAAAAATGGGACAAGAGCACACCAGACCCTCCAAAGGCTATTTAGCTTGTGATATTGTTAAGGAGAGAGCAGGAGAAGAAGCTATGTTAAAAATAAAGAAGATAGCAAAGATTTGTGGTTTTCAAGTGTCACCCAGTGGTAGATTACAGCCAGAGTTTTGGAGGAAATTGCTTATTGATAAAGAGGGCTTACTATTGGATAATGGGTTGACGAAAGCCGTGGAGGCTTGGTATCGGGTAGCAGGAGGACTCAAGCGGGAGGGTTGGTCAGAGGAAGAACTAGATTTTGAAGGACAAACGATTTATGTATATCACAGGAATGTTTGTAATGATGATTCGTCTCTTGATGTTCCCCGGCCACCGCCCTATGATGGCGCCCAGAATACCGTGAATGAAACTCGCCCCGCCTCCCCAGTCACTGCCCAATCGCCACCTCCAATTGTCATAGATCCTTCTGTCCCCACCCCTTTGTACCCCGTTCTCGGGGCAGATGGATCCTATTATTACCCCGTCCCTCTCCTGCCTACCTCCACACTTCCCATTATTCCGGTCCCCCTCCCACTTCCTTCTGATCCCGCCCCTCTTCCACCTTCCCTTGTCACTACTGATGCCGTCCCTCTGCTACCTCCCTCCATCACTTCTCCCTCCATCACCCCTCTCCCACCTCCCCCTGTCATCCCTACTATTCCTGCTCCCCTAGCACCTTTACATGTTGCCTCCCCTGACGCCCCTCTGTCATTCCTTCTGCTCTTGCCTTCACCCATTGTTCTCCCTGTTGCATCTCTCTCTGCCATATCCCCTCTTCCCTTGCTGTTCCCTCTACTCCTGATCCTTCCTCTCCCCACCACCCCTTCTTTCCCTGTTCCAGATTCGCCTCCTCTTCCCGGCTCCAATCCTGTTGTCCCTCCCCCTTCGATCTTTCGTCACTCATCTCTGCCCTCTCCACTCATCTCCCTCAGCCTACTCAGCCCGCCCCCTCACCCAGTCCGACTCCTGTCTCCACCTCCCTCATGGCTACTCCAAGTTACCCAATCATGATCGTTGGGTCGAATGAATCTACCGTGTCGGGACAGCCTCATGCTGTAGGCGCTTCACCTGCCGTGTCAGGCTTCCATCCCACTACCTCAAAGTTAGTTACTCCCCAAGGCCATCGCTGTCGGTTCTCCCGGCTCCGATGCTCCAGCCGCTCAATCCCCTAACTCACCAGATGTTGCCAGCTATCATGGTCTCCCATTCCCCCCCCGAGGATGACAATGTGCAGGGGCTTGGCCCATTCCGTCCTTCGAATAATAGGATTTCCCAGAGACAGGCCACCCCAGCCAACCACATTGCTGCTCTATCAACAGTGGAAGGGGCTTCCCCGATGTATGTTACTTTCCACCCATCCCAAGCTGCAACCCTAGTAACCTCTCTCCCCGACCCTGAGAAGCAGCCCATGCCCTTCTGCCGGAGGGTTGCCCAGATTCGTAAGACATACTCAGCAGCCTGGCGTGATCTGTATAGTTTGTGTGAGATCAAGGCTGGGGATGCCTATTGGCCCATTATGGAAAGGAGTTTTAATGACGCCCTCCTCACTACTGAAACAGATTTTCAGTCGGGTATTACCTTCTGTGAACAACTTCGGTCCTGGGCCCAGGATAAACTAGCTGACCAAGCCACTTGTATAAATGACATTATACAAGACAAACTCGAATCTGTGGAAAATTACCATTCACGGTTGACTCAAACTTTTTCCGATCTCGGATTCAGTGTATATAACAAAGCACATACCCAGATGTTATCCGCTGCCTTTGTTGCTGGCCTTAAGGATGCCATCAGGAAAGGCTTAGTGCTTTCTCGCCCCGAATACAGAATTATTCCTTTGGACACTCTCTTACTAGTAGCCAAGGGCCTAGAATCTGCTCTACAACCACCCCAAAGGAAAAGTAATCCTCTCATGTTTTCCGTTTGTAGCCCTGCCACCAGACCCACCCCGGTCCCCCCAGGATATCCCGTGCTATCTACCCTGCCAGTTGCACAGGGGCAGCACATGACACCCGCCCCTAGGCTTCAGACCAGGGCATGCTTTAATTGTAACCAGCCAGGTCATTTCCGGAGAGATTGCCCACACCCCAGGGTGCCTAGATAGCTGACCACTAGACCACCTATGTACCCCAATGCCGCTACAGCCACGTATGGTGGTCTCCAACCAGGTTATCCTCCACAGGTATATCCTCAGGCACATACATCGTATTACCCTCCTCAAGAATATGCCCAAGCTGTCTACCAGCCCTCTCCATCTGATACTCACCCCCCACCCCGCAGCTATGCTCACCCTTCCCCTGGTAATTATGATACAGATGATTTCCAACAAGATGAACGCCCTGCACCCAGTCATTATCACCCTACACGGCAAACCCATCAGGCCAACCACTCCACTACACCCGCACGTCACTACACTCGCCAGGATCAATCTCATCTAGACCTTGTACAATAGGTAACCGGCAAACCTGTGTCTGACACCCCTGCCATGGCAGTGTCTACAGGGGACAAGGGGGGGCCTCTCGCTACAGTTGTCCTACCAGTTGATGGTCATCCTACTACCTTTTTAGTTGACACAGGTGCAGCCTGCAGTGTTCTCAGAGAACAAGACCTGCCTGACCCATCTTACCTATACGACACAGATGTTTCTTGTGTAGGTGTGGATGATATCCCCCGAAACAACCCATTAACTAAGCTCTTGCGGGTTGGTCTTACTGTGGTAATTCTCTTTCTCTTCCTGATTTGCTGTGTGATGCCCTGTGTGCAGAAATATTTACAGAGGACTGTAGGTCAGACTATTGACCGCACTACACCTACATTCCTACATCAGGATATCATCGATATGGACTGTGACACCCCTCACACACACCTCTTCAGTCCCACCACCTCAAAGAGACAACTACTTCCATATAGGGATATTATAGGAACAGCGTCTGTCTCTACAGGCAGGAGTCTGACGCAGGAGATGTAGTGGGTTAGCCGCTTTGGGATACCTGCGCAGTTGTCACATCCTGTTCCTCGCTGCGGATCATTCTGGCAATGGCTTCTGGTATCCAGTACTCTTTTTGCTGTCCTTGCTTGGTTTTTCTGGTTTTCTGGTCTATGTCTGGTTTTCTTTGTTGCTGGGTTTCTGGGTTCATTCTTAGATTCTGTCCCTGGATTCCCCAGTCTCTTGGATTCACTTAAATGTTTGTTTTATGTTGCCACACCCGTTTGTTTTCCACTTTCCTTTTGTTTCAGCTTAGACCTGCAGCAGTGTTTCATGTCTCTGCCCTTTCTTGCAGGTAAGTGCTATTGTGGTATAGTGTGGTTGTTTTAGCATACATTAGGCAGTGTAGGACCTGCCAGATATGGGGTACATTGGTGTTGTTGGCAGGCTTGTGCCATGTATGATCATATAATGTGACTAAATCCCCTTACTTTTCATAATTAGTGCTTAGCTATGTTTCCACTTGTTTTACCTTGTATCTCTTGTCTTGTTTTACTTTGTCTTGTAATCCCAGTCTATGTACAGTCCTGTCCAGTCATGCCCATGTTATGTTCTTGTTTTCCTCATGTCTTGTGTACATGTTCTAGGTTCTGCTTTCTGTTCTGCTCTGGTTCTGGGTTCTCCTAGTTTTGTCTTGTTTTCATGCATGGTGCCTATCTCTAGTCTTTCCTTGTTCTCCTAGTTTAGTCTTGTTTTCTTGTATGGTGCCTTGCTCTCCTAGTCTTGCCTTGCTTTGGTACTGGATACATCCCTGCTGCAGAGCCTCCCTATTCAGCTCCTGGGAGGTCTGCTTAATTACCTGCTCCTAGTTCCTGGGATCAGCATAAGCTAAATCAGGGTTCTGGTATGTGGCTGCACAAACGCTGGTGCTCAACACCAGGGGGTGTGCGGTTACCCTGCACCAGACCCTGCTAATCCACCTCCACACTGTGACTCCTACTCTGATCATCAGGCACTCAGGGGTCCCGGTCCACGCACCGCCGCCCGGACAGTGTCTGGGTCCCGGGCACTGGACCGCCACCTTGACAGTTTGGCCGTAGGCACTTGGAGTTCGTGGAGTGGACTTTGCAGCTTTCCTGTTCTGCTTTGTTTGTGTCATGTTCTGTCTGAGAAAACTGCATATATGAGTTCCTCTATCTGGACCTGTCTGCTGGAGAGGGCTTCCTTATTTCTGTCGTGGAGGAGGTCAATCTGCTAAGCGGTATGGTAGTCGCTTCAGGTGTTTCCTTGTGATGCTTAGTTCCTGGTTTCTTGTTCTAGTTCCTCCTGGATTATGCAGCATACAAGAGTTCCTGTCTCTGGACCAGTCTGCTGGAGATGACTTCCTCATTCTTGTTCAGTCTGTCTGATTCCTGTTGTGGAGGAGATCGATCTGCTAAGCTGTATGGTGGTCGTTTCAGGTGTTTCTTTGTGATGCTGGTTTCCTGGTTCTGTTTCCGATTTTGTGGCAGTGCTCCTGTTTTGGTGGTTCCTATGCAGGAGGTCTTTCCGGTGCGGGATCCTTGCCTCCATGGAAGTCAAGAGGACTTCGTTGCAGGATCCGCTTGCCATTCCCGGTCTCTGCCTGGGAGCTGGTGGGAGCGTCCGGAGTACGCTCCTTAGGAGGGGAGTTATGTCACATCCTGTTCCTCGCTGCGGATCATTCTGGCAATGGCTTCTGGTATCCAGTACTCTTTTTTTTGCTGTCCTTGCTTGGTTTTTCTGGTTTTCTGGTCTATGTCTGGTTTTCTTTGTTGCTGGGTTTCTGGGTTCATTCTTAGATTCTGTCCCTGGATTTCCCAGTCTCTTGGATTCACTTAAATGTTTGTTTTATGTTGCAACACCCGTTTGTTTTCCACTTTCCTTTTGTTTCAGCTTGGACCTGCAGCAGTGTTTCATGTCTCTGCCCTTTCTTGCAGGTAAGTGCTATTGTGGTATAGTGTGGTTGTTTTAGCATACATTAGGCAGTGTAGGACCTGCCAGATATGGGGTACATTGGTGTTGTTCGAGTCTTAGCGATGGTGTCTAAGATTATGGAACAAAGTTTATGGTGTCTAAGATTCTTTATACTCCTTGACAGACTTGAAAGACTTATATTTTTCTGGACTATGCTGGACTATTGAACTATTTTGTTGTTTTTATTTTTGGTGAGTTAGCCGGAGAGAGAGGAAGTGTTAGCTTACTCAGGCATGGATGTACTATGTGTGTCATTGATGTATGTTGAGTGTACCAAGGATGGATTCCCATGTATTAAGTGTGGATATGACTGGACCATCTAAATAGGGATTTGATTAGGAGGCATAGGACGAAAGGTCGTGATTAGGATTATTGTTAGAATTGCAAACTGATTAGAAATTATCTTATGATTTAATATGTAAGTGGGCCTTTTCAAACTCATCAAGAAATGTTTCCCAATCCCGATACCCGATATAGCGGAGATACAATATTCCCCAGGCTATCTCCGCTTATAATCCAAGTGAGGCTCAGGAACAAGTAAATCCACAGGCAAGGTTTCCAGCAGGCAAAATAACACAGCAGTATCCCAAAGGCAATCCCAATAACTGGACGACACACAGTTTCAGGAGCAGAACTCACAACCTTTATTCCACAGTGCCTTATATAGCATGCTCCCATGCAAGGGAGGGATTTTCAACAACAGTGTGTCTTTTGCATGACGTCACGCACACGTCGACATCGTCCATGCCGTGGGGCTACTAATTGATGTAGATTCGCAGCGGCCGGGGTCCATTAACATGCTGCAGGGGTCAGACATATTAAAGCATGGCCGCTGAACAGCACTTCCGCACTTGTTGGCAAGGCAATCATTATTGATGTCGCAAGATAAGGGTGAATATATTACAGTAAGATGGCTCATTTGGTACCCTTACTCAAATTACCATAATCCGCTGACCTGGCCAAGATATATGCCCGGGAAGTATTCCGGCTGTACGCAATTCCTGATACAGGTTATTGTATCAAACAGGGGTTAACAATTTCAATCTACATTTTTGGGGGGATTCCATGCTGAAATTGGAATCACATTATCCTTTTTGTCAGCCTATCACCCACAAACTAATGGAATTATAGGTCCTAATAACTCAAATCATAAAGCTTTTCTGTTCCCCAGTTACCATGACAACCGACCCGCTCTCCTCAGAGCCAGTTCCAGACCGACCGTAGATCGGTAGTCCTTCTTGGGCTCGGCTGCCTTTGGGACCTGGATCTTCCCGGTTCAGTGCTTCTTCACGGTGGAACTGTTTGCTACCAACAATCTTTTGCCTGGTAAGCAGAATAAGTGATTGCATTAACAGCAATTTTACCACATGACAGGAGGCTTCCTATTTTGCATTAACTGTTTTACTTTTACTCCAGCAGCAAAGTATTAACCAATCAAAAAGAAGAAACATAGAGTATACAAGTCTAGGTCTGCCCACACACTTTCTCTTTCTTTTCTGCTCCAGCAGGATACAGGTCAGAGTACTTATTCCTGCTGTTAGACTTTACAGCATTTATTGATTTATTTGTTTATTACCTAATTTGGGTTTTTCATGTTATAGCTGTCAGTGTTTTCCTTAGGCTTTTTCTTATATCTGCAAAGCTAATTCCTTTTTGACCCTTCTCTCCTCACCTGGGTTTCTGTCCCCCCTACTAGGGGCCTGTCACTCTACCTCAGGGTCCCTGTCCTTCAGACTCACTATCGTGTCACGCGATCGACGGTTTTACCGCGATCGTGACTCTCTTGTACAGTCTGTCCTCTATTGTGGGGTGGAGAGGTTTTTTTATAATGGGGTGATAGGGGCGCTTGCGTTTTCTCCACACTGCCTTGGCCTGCAGGAGTTTGTCCCAGCGGGTCCTCGCGCGCGACGGCCTCCATCTTGAATCTCTCAGACTGCCGCACAGATCATCCTGCAAACCTTAGGACCTCTGCTATCTCAGGTGCCTGATTCACTGTACTGTCTAATACTGTATGCTGCAGGATTTGTATGTGTACTAACACTACCCATAACAATAATTAATTCAAATGGCTGCCACATAATTACAGAGGGTTACACTCTCCACTATAGTGGATTACTGTTGATGCCTTGTATGTTTATTATTGTGTATGCTATTGCAAACTGCCAGATTCAGCTGCACACAGGGGTGAGCCACCTGCAATAACATTGGGGTGAGCCCCCATATACCCTCTATTGTCCATACCCTGGCATCAGTGCCATCCAGGGAAAATTATTCATGGTTTCACCCTGACAGTGGTACCTAACGTGGACATTTTGATTGGGGTGAACCCTGACTGGTGGTACTGTTAGATTGTAAGCTCACAGGCTACCTATGCACTTTGTATAAAAGAGCTTAAATGGCTAGATTTCAGCTTACGGGCAGGGCCCTCTCTACCTTTTGTATTTGTGTGTGTATATTGTATGTTCTCCACTAATTGTACAGCGCTACGGAATCTGTTGGCGCTTTATAAATACCAGTAATAAATAAATACCTGCCCGCAGTTAAGGGGACTTTTCCCCCTCTGGCTATTGGAGACTCTCAACGTCTCCCCATATGTACAAGGGCGTTAATCCCCTTCTCTTTCCATGCCGCTCCTTAGACCAAAACCTATAGATACTGTAAAGGATCCTTGCATTCGTGCAGCGATGATCCTTGCAGCTTCTCTCGAACTCCAACTGAAACAAAGCGATTATAACTCCCAATCCCCCAAACATGAGTTGAGACTTCATGAAGGGGTAAAACGATCTGATTTACTGTGGGCTACCCGCCCGGTATTTATGCAGGTCTTCCACCTGGTGGACACTCCCCTAGGGGACCAGATGGAAGACTGGGACAAAAGTAACACAGTAGCCAATCACTCCCCTTTTACCTAAATCACTCCCTCTTTTCCATCCTGGAGATAATTAAATTAAGGTAGCAAAGAGAGCCTTAATTATCTCCAGGAAGAAAGAAACATGGCTTTTCTTAGTTAGTAAAACAGAATAAAAATACATAACTTTCTTTTTACACCACATAAACTTTAAGTTCCACATATCCCCAGATAGCTTGGATCTGAGGGCATATTCTAGGCGAATAGCGCTCAGATCCCACGAAGACAGGTCTCAGAATCGTCGACTGAAGTTTGCCTTTCACCGGCCGTTCGTGTGTTTGTAGCCGACTGCAAGTTCCGTATTCTAACTATCTGGGGTCGGTTACGTTCGCATACTTTCAGCGCATGAATGAAGTATTATCCCCTTCATTCGTGTGTTTTCCACCGTATGAACGAGGATGAGAGAAGGTAACAGCGGTGTTCGACAAAATAGGTAGCCAAAATCAGTTCCAGGGAATCCGTGCCATTTACCGCTGTGCGTTCGACAAAACAAAATGGCGATTGCCACGTGTTCGGTAGACGAACGTGGACCACCAGCTATTCCCCAATTAGTCTGTGGTTAACCGCAACAGTCAGGGTGGTCAATAGGCGCCACACGACCTCAGTGGGAGGTCGGTGGTTCGGTAGTTCATTCGCATTTATTGTTATTTCCACGAAATCCCTCTGTAATTCTCCAAATAACCAAACAGGCTTGTTCGTATAGTCTGTAAATAGGGGATTTCGTTACAGATACATATATCTACATATTAATACCTACGTCCGCTGTGGCAAGCCCCAATACAGACATTGTAGGGGGCCACCCCTGATGGCCCGGCTTATAATAAGATGTTCTAAACTGTGTCCTCTCCTTCACAGGACGACCCATGGTGCGCCATGTCAGACGCACCGCAGCAGACTCGGGACTTTCAGTCCATAATCAACGCTGCAGTTGCGGCCTCCATGAAAAAGGCCATTTCAAAAATACTGACGCACCTTCCCACGGAAAACCTAACCCAACCAATGGGGGTGGTGGCCCAAGACATGGAGGATATTGTGGGCTCGGAAGCCTCTATCAAAGGCCTACCACCTCTACCCAAACGGCACAACGGCTTGGCGGGGACCGAAGACTAAGGGTAAGGGGCCGATCAAACGCCCCTTAGCGTTGCCCGAACATCCACTTCCCACACTGTTATCAGAGGAGGAGGATGACTACCTACCCACATCACTGGACGTGGTAGACGAATGGCGGGCAGAACACTCTGAAACAGACCGAGACGAAGAATGGCAGGCCGTCCCATTCTCGGACCCCACATTCACATGGAACACCTATGCAGAGGGTTACCTCCCACATGACAAGGGGGATGACTTTGCGTCTGAGGGTGAAGGCCTCTTCTTGGACACCAAAGGCTGCCCACTGTTTGACCCCAGGACCATCAAACACCCTCGTTCCCAACCCACGTTCCCGGACAAGATCGCTGTGACTTCGGTGTTTGACGAAACAATGGTAGTGTTCATGTCGGACAGGACACGACCCTTGCAAGGGCATTGAAAGAGGGCTCAAAGCAACACAAGACAAACTGCTAGACTTACTTGGTCCACTAGTCAAGATATTATACTTCGCGGACCTGGCAGAGCCCAAGGCACCCAACTTGACCCAGGGGCAATTCGTGAATGGGCCCAAAGAGGCATTTGCATGCTTGGTAACACCAATGCCGCAATCTGCACCGAAAGACGCAGGGCCGTCGTCCTACGCATTTACACTAAACTGACTAATATGGCTTCCAAGGAGTTGGACCCCATGGCTAATGGTCTATTGTTTGGTGACTCATTCATCCTGGAAATGAAGAGACACGTGTCATTATTCACGACCCTCAATAGCGCCCAGTTGTCCCTACGACAGGTATGCCGCCCACCTCCAGCTAGAGGTGTTTTTGGAAGGGCTTGTTGGCAATGGATCTGGCCCACCAGCCACTTCTATCCCACCGGTTCCAGACAGAACACACCTTCTACCCTCCCTCAGCACAATGGACAACATCCTTCTATAGAGGTGGCTCCCTATCCAGAGGTTCACAGGGCAGAGGCTGAGGACGCTTTACCACAGGTGGGTCTCTCTATATTCTGTCACACCGATACTATCACTGCAGGCAGGTTGTTCTTTTTCTTGCATAACTGGGAAGAGATATCCAATGACGCATGGATCCTGCAGATGGTACGGGTCTAACTCATCGAATTCTACGCCCCTCCCCACCAGCAATACCTACCACCGCCACTTCGGGTTGCCAGGGATTTCGAGATGCTTATAGACGAAAAAATCCTCTCGCTACTCTCCAAAGGCGCGGTACAATACGCTCAGGACGAGGGCAGTTTCTTCAGCAATATTTTTTCCTGGTTCAGAAAAAGACCGGGAATTTCCGCCCGGTCATAAACCTAAGACATCTAAATTCCATCGTGATTTATCGCCATTTCAAAATGAAAGGAATTCATCTTCTACGAGACCTCCTACAGAAGGGCGACTGGTTCACCCGTCTGGACCTCAAGGACGCCTGCCTATCAGTATCGATGGACCCCTCCTGCCAAAGGTTCCTCCCCTTTCACTGGTGAGGCAGGCCATGCCAGTTCACTTGCCTCCCATTCAGACCCAGCTCGGCACCATGGTGTTTCATGAAACTGCTGAAGACGATCATGGCTCATCTCCATTCTACGGAGGTAAGATG